GGAGCAGTGGCCGGGGTGCGGGGATGGTGAACGACATGAAGGAAAGTGGACTTTTAACCGAAGGCGGGAAGCGCCCTCCCTCGGTTCTGGGGGTTCGAGACGGGAGGGAGCCCCGGGCCCTTCGGCGGGTCTGGCAGCAGGGGGCACGTCCCCGGGGAAACCGAGGCCTGACGTGGAGCCCGGGAGGACAGGCTCGAGCTGCGACCCCTTCTCTCTCCGGCAGGTGGTCCAGCATGGGCCAGGGGCTGAGGTTCTCCGGGGAAACTGAGGCCCGAGGCATCCCGTGAAGAGAGGGCGCGGGCTCTGGGTCCCGGAGTCCCCCCACCAGGCTGGCCGAGGGTCACCTTGAGCCTTTCGTGCAAAATTCAGACGGAGCCGCCCTTCCCTTCCTGCCCCTGACGTCAAGACATTGCCTGCGGCCGCACAGCCCAACTTCCCAAAAGGGAAGCTGGACCTTGTCCCCACGTTGACTCCCGGGGACATTATGCCCGTGCGGTTTTCTTGCACCCGTTTGGAATGACGCTTTCGTCTCCCTGGTGCCTAGGATCCGTCGACATGAATCCCGTCGTCGTGGTCCACGGTGGCGGAGCCAGCAACATCTCCGAGGACCGGAAGGAGCGAGTGCGCCGGGGGATCGTCAGAGCCGCGACCGTGGGTTACAGCATCCTCCAGGAGGGAGCGAGCGCCGTGGATGCCGTGGAAGGAGCCGTGACCGTCCTGGAAGATGATCCCGAGTTCAACGCAGGTAAATCTGTGCTTCAGCTGGGAAAGTAATGCCAAGTCGGGTCAAGCTGCTCCCCAAAATACAGAGAACCTTTTTAAAGTGTGGATGAATCTAATCAGCTTCGTGGTGAAGCTACATATGCCGAAAAATAGCAATACCTAGATTTTTCTTTCTGCCTGTTGGTCAAGTTGCTTATGAATGTTTAAATCCATTAATGCAACCTTTTTTTATTTAATCTGCTTCCTAGAATTTACATAGCAAGAGGCTTTTTTATTACATTTGGGGAGGGAGGGGCGTTGGGGGTAGACTACTTACATACGATAAACTGTACTCATTTTAAGTTTTGAAAAATGTATACAACTGTGTAAACACTGCCACAACGAAAATTTAAAACATTTCTATCACCCCCTATGATACTGTGATATAATAACAAGTATATATTTGGTTTCTGCTCCCAGTTCCAGGCACAGAGCTTCTAAAACTCTTGTAATTTCCTGAGCAGTAGGGGTGCTGGGAGAATATTTTGTTCTACTATTTGGTCTTTGACCCCAGCTCCTAACAAAATTCCTAATCCCTTGGAATTTCCTGAGTGATAAGAGCATCTTTTGTCCTACTGAGGTAACTCCTAGTGGACTCCCGGATGGGGGCTGGTCACCACACAGATCAAACCCTAGTTAGAGGCTTGGAATTTTCAGCCCCACCCCACCCCCCACCCCCCATCCTCCCAGAAGAGGAGAGGAGCTAAAGATTGAGTTAATAATTGATCATGCCTATGTAATGAAACCTTTCATAAAAATCCTGAACTAAAGAGTTGAACTTCTGGGTTGGTGAACACATCTACATACCAGGTGGCCACCCCAATCCCATGGGGACAGAAACTCCTGCTCCCAGGACACTTCTAGACTTTGCCCTGTGTATTTCTTCATCTGGCTATTCATCTGTATCCTTTATCATATCCTTTATTTATATAATAAACTGATAAACATTAAGTGTTTCCCTGAGTTCTATGAGCCACTCTAGCAAATTAATCGAACCTAGTAAGGGGGTCATGGTAACCTCCAATTTGTAGTCAAGTCAGGCAAAAGTTGTGGGTAACCTACCACTTGGGATTGGTGTCTGAGGTGAGGAACAGTCTTGTGGGACTGAGCCCTTAACCTATGGGACCTGACTCTAACTCTAAGACAGAAAGACAGAGGAAGATTAGAGTAATAATTTTAGTTTTTATGGCTAGCTTTGGGGGAAAAGGGTTGATAGTTTTTCTGCGAACTGCCTTGGGGAAGAGGGATTCTAGTTCCTGTGGATTGCTCAGGGAGAAAAAGGAGCAGGTGAAAGGAGGGCAGAAGTCAGAGAGAAAGACTGTTTTCTGAGGCCTTCCCTTTGGGGTATCGTTTCCTGAGCCCAAACACCATTTTAGAGTTAATTCTCCCCACTTCATCTCCAGCACCTGGCATCCATTAATCTCCTTCTGTCACTATAGATTAGTTTGCACTTTCTAGAATTTCATATAAATGCAGTCATACAGAGTATAGGTATAATTATTTTGCTCATTTCTCAGACGAGAAATTTAAAGCACAAAAAGATTAATTTGCTGGAAGGCATTCATTTCCTCTTTATTTTAAAATAGAAAACCAAAGATCTAGGAATTAAAATACTTCTTGGAATTATACTACCTACTCAACATCTGTCAGGGAATTTCAGGAAATCTTAACCAGTTAATCATTAAATACTTACTGAATGTTTTCTCTGTCCCCTTGACTCTGCTAAACATTTTTTAACACGAAAAATTATGTGTTTGCCTGACTATAGAATGACATAAAATGTCTGACCATAGAATGAGACATAACAGTGCACTTTTATGGTTACATTTGTTGAGCTAGAATTTACCAGATAGCCGGGAGAGCAGCTGGCTATTTCTGTGGCAGACTCGTTAAACTACATGTCTCTTAGCAGTCAGGAACCCCTTGGCTGACAAACCCCCATTTACTTACACAGGACCTGCATTTGAAGCAGGTCATTTGGTCTTCCACCATCACTAAACTGAGTCATCTACATGAGTTGGGGAAGTACAGATTAGGGAACTGGAGCAGCTAGTTCTCCTTTCTTTGCCCTATACCCAGAGTCCTTCTCTCTGACTGTCTCCTCTCTAATTTCCCAGATGTCTACTATTCAGCACATTGATGGAGAAAAGCGTAGAGTTCAAAGACGGAAATCAAATATTTAGGGGAGGAAAGGTGGGGCTTTTAACAGCATCCTGTCTACCTTGGGTCTGTTTTGCCATTTGTTTTTCCCAGCTGAGGTCAATACAAGCAAATAGCATTCCCAGCAACCTCTGCTATAATCCTCTAGGATAACTATTTAGGAACTTCATACAAAAAGCTGACCCCCAATAGATATTGAGTTCCCTGGCAATAATTAGCATTCATGACACAACTTATCTGAGTATTTGTAAAAACATTGTCTATGTTTACATTCATTCATGTTTTAATATGGATTTCACTTTATGCTTAAAGCTGTTCCATAATACTTAAGTTTATTTAAAATCAGCTTATTTAATAGATACCAACACTGTAAAAATTGAACTTCTGATGCTAGAACTATTCTTTAAAGACTTAACTTAGATTGGCAACCAAATAATGACCCTTTGCCTTCTCTGGAGTTAGGCAATATTTACACAGCAATTTAGGTAGGTAGTTATTCTCTCTACAATTCAATTTTATAAGCTGTCACAGAATCTTTTGAGATAACAGGATTTTTTCCATTTATCCACCCTCTTTCTGAATTCCTTCTAATGTGACATCTATAAGGTAAAAATCTGTGGCGTCTAGGAATTGTTTTTTGTTTCTTTGTTTTGAAGATTCCAGGGTGATTCTAAGTACAACCAGGTTTAGAATTCACTAGACTAATACCGTACAGTTTTAACAGGTCTTCTTTTTTTAGTATAATTTACATACAATAAAATCTCCTTTTTAGTGCACAGTTCTATTATTGTGACAAATGCATATAGTGGTGTAACCACCACCACTATCAAGATGTAAAATGGTTTCATTACTCTCTCACATCCCTTTGAGTCTTTACCTCCACCACCCCCAGCCCTGGCAAAAACTAATCTGTTTTTAGTCCTATAGTTTTGCCATTTCCAGACTGTCATAGATGGAATCATACAATATGTAACCTAAGTCTTGATTCTTCACTGAACATAATGTGTTAGAGTGTTATCCACATAGACATGGGTATCAGTAGTTTATCCCTTTTTATTGTTGAGTAGTATTCCATTGTATAAATATATCAGAGTTTGTTTAGCCATTTACCAGCTGAAGGATATGTTCCATTTTGGGCCATTATAAATAAAATCATCATAAACATTTGCATGCAGGTTTTTGTGTGAAGATAAGGTATTTCTCTTGATTGTATACCTAGGAGTAGGATTGCTATGTCTTATGGCAAGTATATATTTAAATTTATTAGAAACTGTCCAACTTTTCCAGAGTAACTATCATTTTCCATTCCCACCAGCAATGTATGAAGGTCACTGTTACTCCACACCTTCACCATCACTGGATATTGTCAGTATTTTTTATTTTAGCCATTCTAATAGATAAATAGTGGAATCCCCTTGTAGTGTTAATTTGCATTTCCCTAAATGGCAAATGATGTTTAAGATCTTTTCATGTGCATTTTTGCAATCCACATTCTTTAGGGAAGTAACTGTTCAAGTCTTTTGTTGATTTTTCTTTTTTTTTTTTTTCTCATTATTGAGTTTTAAGGGTTCTTTATGTATTCTAGATGTGGATCTTTTATCAGATATATGAATGTGGGGCCAGCCCGGTGGCGCACTGCTATAGTGCGCCGCTTGGGAGCGCGGTGGCGCTCCCGCCGAGGGTTCGGATCCCACATACAGACCTGTTCCCGCTCACTGGCTGAGCGGGGTGCAGGCGCAACACTAAGGGTTGTAATCCGTTGCCGGACACGAAAAAAGACAAAAAGGAAAAAAAAAAAAAAAAAGATATATGAATGTGATCTGCTGATATTTTCTCCCAGCCTGTGGCTTCTCTTAACAGTCTTTCAAAGAGCAGAAATTCTCAATTTTGCAAAAGTCCAATTTATCAATCTTTTTTTGGTAATGCATCATGCTTTTCATGTCGTATCTTAAGAAATATTTGCATGACCCAGGATTACAAACATATTCTCTCATGTTGTCTTCTAGAAGTTTTGAATATATCAAAGTTCAGTTTTTGCATAATTGTTCTAGCACCAGTTGTTGAAAAGGCATATATATGTAGAATGGCTATTATCAAAAACATAAAAAATAGCAAATGCTGGTGATAAAGTTTGGATATGTTGTCCCCCCGAAGCTCATGTTGAAATCTGATCCCCATTGTGGCAGTATTGAGAACTATTTAGGTCATGGGGGGCAGATCTCTCATGAATAGATTAATACCCTGGGGTGGGGGGGTAGTGAGAGAGTCCTCGCTCTGTCATTTCTCACAAGAGCTGTTTGTTTAAAAGATGCTGGCACCTCCCCCCTCTGTCTCTGTCTTGCTTCCTCTCGCCATGTGTTCTTGCATCCTCCAGTTGCGCTGCTGCTTTCCACCATGAGTAGAATCAGTCTGAGGCCCGCACCTGTCCCACATGCAGCTATCCCAGAATCATGAGCCAAATAAACCTCTTTTCTTTATAAATTACCCAGTCTCAGGTATTCTGTTACAGCAGCACAAAAACAGACTAATACAGCTGTCAAAGATACAGAGAAAAGGGAACTCATATACTGTTGGTGGAAATGTAATTCTTACAGCCATTATGGAAAACGGTATAGAAGATCCTCAAAAAACTAAAAATAGAACTCTGTTATATGATCCAGCAATCCCACTACTGGGTATATATCCAAAGGAAAGGAAATCAGTATGTCAAAGAGATATCTGCTCTCCCATGTTTATTGGAGCACTATTCACAATAACCAAGATATGGAATCAACCTAAGTGTCCATCAACAGATGAAAGAAAGAAAATACGGTATATATACATAACGGAATACTATTCAGCCATAAAAAAAGAATGAAGTCATTTGCAGCAACATGGATGAGCCAGGGGGACATTACATTAAGGAAAATAAGCAGGGTACAGAAAGATAAATACCACATCTTCTCACTCATGTGGAAGCTCCGTAAGTCAATCTCATTGAAATTGAGAGTAGTGTAGTGGCAACTAGAGGCTGGGAAGGGAGAGGAGGAAAGGAGAATAGAGGTAAGTTGGTTAACAAGCACAAAATTACAGCTAGGTAGGAGGAATAAGAAGCTAGTGTTTTATAGCATTGTAGGGTAACCGTAGTTAACAATAATTTATTCTATACTTTCAAATAGCTAGAAGAGAAGATTTTTAATTTTCCTAGCACAAATGATAAATGTTTGAGGTGACTGATATACTATTTACCCTGATTTGTTCATTATACTTTGTATACAGTTATCAAAATATTACACTTTCCCCATAAATATGTACAATTATTGTGTATCAATTGCAAGTAATTTTTAAAATTAGTTTTTTTAAAAAGTGTGATATTTAATTTCCAAATGCTTGGGGATTTTACAAATATCTGTTACTGATTGTAGTTGCTAGTATGATCAAAAGACATACTTCGTGTGATTTGCATTCTTTTAAACTTTGTAAAGTTTATTTTTGGCCTAGAATACAGCCTATCAGGGCAAACATTTCATCTTCACTTGAAAAGAATGTACATTCTGCTGTTATTGGATCGGGAGTTCTTTAAGTCTCAGTACAGTCTATTTGGTTAATAATGTTCATATCTTCTATTTCTATAGAAATTGTCCCTGAGCTCAATGATTCTCTGGGGGTTTTTTTCTTCAGTCTTTTTTCTTTTTTTGTTGTCTCTGTTTTTTACTTTGCATCATTTCTGTTCCTTGTCTTCAAATTCACTTTTCTTTTTTGCTGCAGTGTCTTATCTGCTTGCTATTACTCTCATCAGTATTTTTTTATTTCAGACTTTTAAAAAGTCTAGTTCTATTTGCATTCTTTTATATTTTTCTCCACATGCTGGTACATATGTCTATCATTTGTGTAATTTCTGAATCTGTTACTGTTGATTGACTTTCCCCCCTCATTATAGGTCATATTTTCCTATATCTTTGTGTGTTCCTGGTAATTTCTTATTGGATGCTAGACATTGTAAATTTTACCTTGTCAGGTGCCAGATATTTTTGTAATCCTTTAAATATTCTTGAGCTTTGTTCTGAGAAGCAGTTAAGTTCCTTGAAAACAATTTGATTCATTTGAAGCTTACCTTTAAGCTTTGTTAAGTGGGACCAGAGCAGCCTTTATTCTAGCCTGATTTTGCCTTACTGCTGATGGAAGATACTATGAACACTACACCGTGTATTATGAGATTTTTCCACTCGGGCTTGTATGAACATGAAGTGTTCCCAGCCCTGTGTGAGCTCCAGGGATGGTTTCACCAACTCCTTTCTTGTGGCACTTTCCTTGCCTCATATACTTGCACTGATCAGTACTCAGCTGAAAGAGAGTCCCATCCGCAGAGATAGAGCCCTCGCTTGCTTGCTTTCTCTCTGTGTGCAGCTGTCTCCTTTCAAGTACTCAGCCCCACAAACTCTAGCCACCCTGGCTTCCCAAATTCTCTACTCTGTCTCCTCAACTTGGGAAAACCACTAGAAAAACCACTATGCTTTGTTTGGGTTCCCCTCTCCACTGTGCATACTGGAAATGGGCCAGGCAGAAAGCTGGGCACTTGTAGGGCCTTCTCTTTGTTTCTTCTCTCTCAGGGATCACCATACTGCACAGCCTGTTGTCTGAACAATCACTGTTTCATATTTTTCATCCATCTTTCTAGTTGTTTAAGGCAGGAAACTAAGTCTGTCCCTGTGACTCTGTCTTGGCTAAAAGTCCACATAATATAACTTTAACGTTACACTGACTTTTATAATTCCATGTTTCTTGTCTTCTCAACTGAATTCAAAACCTCTTTGAGAGGTATTTCTGTTACTTCTGACTAGCTAAGCACTCACTTGATATACCTTGGATTGGAAGGAAGTAGTCTTTTATTTTATTTTTACCCACAAAACGTTTCATGGCCTATCATACATTTAATGGTGTTCCTTCCCCCCGTATCTTCTAATACGCCTAATCCATTTTGCATAAAGAAAATTCTGTTGCATTCGTTTCCCTTTTAATGACAATTACTCAACAAATAGTGTAGTGCCCAGTATGTACTAGGTTAGTAAACAATGTTACAGTATTTTTTGTAGCCGTAATATGGTCTTTTCTTTCTTTGATACAAATTTAGCTAAGAAAATTAGCATTGCCATAACCCAAATGAAGTAAAGGTCTTAGGTTTGATATTCTTAGTCAATCGCTTTCACATTAGCCAAGCAAATGGAGTGTAATTCTCCTAATTAGTAAAGCATTGCATTCTCTACCCAAAACACAGCTTGTATTGCTCTTATAGTTATTAAAATTAATTTTAAGAAACTAATTTTTCTTAAATTATCCATCTCATAAAAGTTTCTGGCTTAATACTCTCCTGTAACCCTGAAAAAACTGTTTCTATAAAGTTGGGTTTTATTTGGCAACCCACTAAGGCATCAAGCTACGGTGGAAAAGATGTGAGCTTCTTTAACAGAAGGAAGAAGGTATCTAAGCCACAGACCTGGATCTGATTCCTCACTCTTCACCTAATAGACATTCGATATTGGGAACGTTGCTTTTTTGGTTTCCTTATTTGTTAAGCTGCACATAATCAGAACAGCTAACATTTACTGCTTGCCTATGCATGCCAGGCACCACCCTAAGTGTTTAGAATGCATTATCTACATGATTGGTGGTTGTGAGGATTAAATAATTTGATCTTCTTACCGCATTTTACAGATGAGGAAACAGAGGAACTAAGAGGTTAAGGGCATATCTTGATTTGTAGGCATTATCTAGGCAGAGAAACTTGGAGTAAGGATGCTGCTGGTAAAGAGAACAGTATGTGCAAAGGCACAGAGTAATGAGAGCTTGTGGTATATTCATGGAAGCCTCATATTTCAGTAAAATGTAGCCAGGAGAGGAGATGAAGCTGGAAAAGAAGGTCTGAGGCCATACATATATCAGAGAGGGCTTCGTACTTTTTATTTTGCAGACCATGGGGTGCCAAGTCAGATTTGAGTTTTAAAAAATGTTCCTTCGTTTTTTTTTTTTTTTTTTGTCAATATACAATATAGTTAGTTATTGTGTCCCATCACCAAAACCTCCCTCCCTCCTCCCTCTCCCCCCTCCCACCCAGATGTGTCCCCTCCATTTTCTCGTTGAAAGAGCTTCAAAAAAAAATGTTCCTTCAGCAGTGGAATGGAGGTTGAATAAAAAGGAGCAGATTAGAGGAAAATCTGGAGCCATTTCTAAATCCTTAATTCCTGCTTTTCAACTTCTTGGTTTTAGGTTGTGGATCTGTCTTGAATGTAAATGGTGAGGTTGAAATGGATGCTAGTATCATGGATGGAAAAGACCTGTCTGCAGGCGCAGTGTCTGCAGTCCGCTGTGTAGCAAATCCCATTAAACTTGCACGGCTTGTTATGGAAAAGGTATATATGACTAAAGTATTTTTTCCTAAGTAATTGTTACTGCTGTACTTTGGTGATTTACAAAAGAGGTCTGACTGGAGAAATACTTTAGATCACTGTTCTTCTAAAAATATATATATAAAAACAGAAGCAGTGTTGTTTGAACTTCTCAAGTCAGCCAAGATTCCGACCCTATTGATGATATAGCATGACGAGTAATCACTTGACCAGATTACATTATCTTCCTGTATTTTCTTCAGCCTTCTTTCCACACATATAGCACAGCACATACAAATTGAACAGACCAACTATTTAATAGCATGTGTTAAATAAAAATGGATTAAGTTCTGTAGACGTAACATCATATGTAAGTCACATTCCTAGTAATATTCCATCAATTTGGGGGTTTTTGTTCTGTAGACGTAACATCATATGTAAGTCACATTCCTAGTAATATTCCATCAATTTGGGGGGGGGGGTTTTAATGCAAAAACTCAGAGAGCCAGGCTCTTTTCAGCATTTAGAAAAGCAAGTCAGTGGAATTTACGTTTTTGCCTTTGCACCCAGAAAGAAGTAATTATTACCACACAATTGGAATAGTTAAAAAGGTTAACAATTTTCAAGACAAAAAACATTTTCTCTTTTCTTTCTGGCTCAGACACCTCATTGCTTTCTGACTAACCAAGGTGCAGAAAAATTTGCAGCAGCCATGGGGATTCCAGAGATACCTGGAGAAAAGCTGGTGACAGAGAGAAACAAAAAACACCTGGAGAAGGAGAAACGTGAGAAAGGTGCTCAGAAATCAGACTGTGAAAAGTAAGTCTTCTCTGCGGCCCACGTTTTTGGAAGTTATTAAAGTGTGAAAGTTTGGCAAATATCTGATTATCTACATTTCTTAAATAATTCAGATCAAGTTGTGGAAAAAACGTTTTTTAGTTTCTTAAATTTAACTTCGTTTATTACTCCTCCGAATAATAACTCCCTTTAGGCTAATAGAGTTCCCTCTCTGACATGATTTAATAGAAGAATGCTTTGTATCACTTATCTGTATGCTTTTTGATCAGTTGGTTATCTTAAATAGACAACACAGGTTCTCTGTGATATAGTGTATCTATCTGTTTTAGTCTGTTTTGTATTGCTATAACAGAATTAACTGAGACTGGATAATTTATAAAAAAGAGAGATTTATTTGGCTTACAATTCTGGGACAGCTGCATATGGCATGGGCCTCAGGCTGCTTCTACTCGTGGCGGAAAGTGGCAAGCAGCCAGCAGGTACAAGCAGATCACATGGCGAGAAGAAGCAAGAGAGAGAGAGGAGGTGCCAGGGTCTTTTAAACAACAAGCTCTCGAGGGAACTAACAGAGTGAGAACTCACTCATTTATCCCCCCTCCCCCAAGGAGAGCATTAATCCATTCATGAGGGATCTACCCCCATGACTCAGTCAGTTTCCAACACTGCCACATTGGAGATCAAATTTCCACATGAGTTTTGGAGGGGACAACACATCCAAACTCCATCAGTACCTTATGAACTTATTTAAGCACTCTTTCATAGTCTGGAGAAATCAGTACAACTCTTAAAAATTTAAATTCATCATGTGTTCTAAATAACAGTTTTCTGTTTTACACATTTCAAAATCCCTAATAAAAGCCCCCTTATTTAAAGCAAAATTAGAAAATTAAATTGAATATGGCCTGGGAATTTATAATGGATTTTAATCTATTAACTCTGCATACTTTTTTAGAGTAGGAATATTTAACTAGAGGTATACTTTAGAATCACCTAGGGAACATTTTCAAAATATGTATGCCTGGGCCACTTCCCTAAAGAATCAGTTTTAATAGATCTGAGGTAGAAAGGCCAGGCCGGTATATTACAAAACAATTTCCCAGGTAGTTATGATGTGTCCTCCAGATTAAGAATATGATTTACAATATCAGCCATATGTTAGTAGCCTTACCAAGTATGCTGTTGTGCCCATGGGCTAGAGTCACAGGAATAGGGTTGCCTTATCGATGGTTTATATTCACTTTAAATGATATCGCCACATAGCTTTCTAAAAGCTCTGTAAAAACACATCTCCACCAATTGATGCCGCTCCTAGATATAAGCAAAAGGGGCTTCTGCCCTGGGCCCTACACTTTAAACGTTCTCATATCACAAATACACAAAACAATTGATTTATTACAAAACACATGGGACAACTTTGTCACTCAGCATTGGCACAGTGTGACCCATAACCCTAATTATTCACTCTTGTGACTAACACCATTCAGCCACCAGGAAAAGGCTTCTCCACATCTCTTGCTCTATGTCTTGGAAACAAAAGCCACTTGAGTCCAAAGTTTGTGGGTTGTGTCACTGCTGATATCAGAAATGAACACTGCTTTGGACTGTGGGGAAGATTTGATCAGTGGAAGGACTTAGGTAAGAGGAAAAGACAAATTAATTGAAATTGATTAACTCATCCAATAGATTCTTGCCTCACAAAGTTTTGTTTTCCTGTAGTACCAAGTGTCCATTTTCTTGCCTCTCTACATGTTTCAATTTGTAGTTCTGAAGGTATTCATCAAGTAGTACGGTGTCTGCAAGTGTCATGCATGGGGACTATGACTCTTTAAATTTGTGTATGTGAGGGTCTAGCTGAGTACTGTCCAACAGAAATACAGTCAGAGCCACATATGTAATTTTACATGTTCTAGTAGCTACATTTAAAAAACAAAAGAAACAGGTGAAATTAATAGCATATTTTACTTAACCAAATATATTCAAAATATTGTTTCAATATGTAGTCGATATAAGAAATTACTTATGAGATATCTTATACTTTTTTCATACTAAATATTCAAAATCTGATGTATATTTTATACTTATAGAACATCTCAACCCAGACTAGCCACATTTAGCTAGCAGTAACTCAGTAGCCACATGTAGCTGGCAGCTACTATAGTGGACAGCACAGGTCTAGACAACTCATTGTGTTGGCAACTAAAGGACATTGAATATTAGAATTACGAATGGTTTTGTTTTGATAAAAAGTATGTAAAAGATAGTTAATTTCAAAAATATATTAAAATTTTCAGCTTTTAAGTAATTTTGACTTAAAATATTATATTCCTTCGTTATAATTCATGTCTTGACTTTAGTATTAATAAACAATTTCATGTTTTTTATAACAAACTTTTAGAAATTATATTTGCAAGTTTTGTTTTTTCAATTTTTTTAGATTTGCTCTATTTTTGATGAAAATATATTTTAGTTTTGTACACTTGGGATGTAGTTGCATTTTACTTTTTAATCCCTAGATTATTGAAAATGAGTGTAAATCAAGATTTTGATAGAAAAAGAATACTAAGGTGGAGCTCACAAAAGAAAAAAAAAACTGAAAGGAAAAATGAAGTGAAAATCTTCAATGAAGCAGTCTGCTTATATTTTTTAAAACTGCAAACAATAAAAGTAAGCAGTCTTTCCAGGATGACCCACATAAAATTCACAAACAGGACATTACAAATTCCTTGTTAAGTGAGGTTTAATTACTTATCAAAACAATGAAAATTAGTAAGAAAATTATTCTCACCAAATCCACAACTTTAACAGGTCAAATGAAATCTCTGTAACTGTATATTCTTCACTAAAGGAAGATTTAATTGCAAATCATGAAGAATCACACACAAAAAAAGCACACATACAGTTATAGGAATTGTAGAGAAGAGGCTGAATAAACAGACAATTGATAAACCAGAAAAAGACAAGAATATAATACATCAGTGTATTGTTCTTGAAAGACTAATATAATGTGTCCAATATTTAGCCAAGCCTAATGATTTTTTTCATGATCCTATTAATACAATGTTTACAAAAGACAATGGAAATTTTCTAGGTTTAGTAAAAATGTTTTCAAAATTTGGCAAAATGCCAAACATGTAATTAGGACAAAAAATAATGAAACTAGTGATCACTATCTAGGATGGAGAATTCAAACAGATTGTTAATTTAATGAATAATAAAGCAAGAGGTGAAATCATATATGATTTTTTTTTTCACAAATATAAAAACTTTAATGTAAATACACACCAGTTACCTTAGGACACAAAGCTTTATAAATAACATCACAGAATATTCTTATTTTACTAACGTTTTATCTGGTAGCTACACTGGTTGAGTCTTGCTTTGTCTAATTACCAACAGTGTTATCCCCTCTTCCTTCTATAACTCCTGGCTTACATAGAAAATGACAGTATTGTCACAGCAGGCTGTAATGAATGGATGAGGATGACCAAAGGGGCCAAGATGACTGTCCTGAGGGCTTAGAGGATCAATATCTTGGATTTGTTATAACTTATTTGCAGCACAATAGCTGGAGCTCTCCACATCTGAGCTTAAAATAAATTAATGGTTGGTTTAAGTAAAACTTTATGCATTTTTTAACTCTCCACCCATTTTTCTTCTTTCTTTTTTTTTTTCTCCACATCTGAGCTTAAAATAAATTAATGGTTGGTTTAAGTAAAACTTTATGCATTTTTTTTACCTCTCCACCCATTTTTCTTCTTTCTAGATTAAATAAACCAGTAGTTGCTTTACAGCTACACCATAACTAGATGATTAGAAAGGAATCGATATCAAGAAATAAAGAAGGTAATTCTTCTAGTATATGCTACTGTTTTAACACAAATATGTTGACACAGTTTTCTTTAATGTTCTTAATTATTTTATTTCAACAGTAATAAAAACAAACATGCCAATAGAGGCAGGTGGTCCAGATTTTCTACTCTGTACCATAAATAGCTACATCTATTAGACTTTATTCATTTAAAATCAGTAATGCAAACTACAAGCACAAAGCAAATACAGTAAACACAGAAAAGATCCATTGCAAATACAAAGTACATGATAATATTTTGTTGGTCTAAAACCACTACTTGAATGATGCATCTGTAGTTATTAGCATTATTAAACCTACAGTTTGCGTAAAATAGTTTTCAAATTATGCATCTCCTTAGTGTTAATCTAAAATTACTACACATTGTGTGCTCTGACCTAATAATTCAGCCAATTGCAAGTTTCAGTAGAAACACAAGGGATTCAAATGTGTTCACTCTAAAGTGTCTCATCATGAAATGTTAATTGTCCTACATATGGTCTTACTAGCATTTTCTAAACTCAAAGCTCCATACAAATATTCATCATTGCTGGGAGAGGAATCATTCAGCACTATTAAAATCCTTTAAATTATAAACTGCCAATAGAAATAGGTTGCAGAAACACACTGTAATAACCACTACAAATCTGTGATTTACCAAATATTATCGAGTAGATTACACTCTAAACACTAAAAGTTATTTAACTTCCTATAAATTGGTATTATCTTTAAAATAGCAAATTTGAAGAAATAGTATTAATATACAAGACAATTGCAGTATATCCATAAATTACTAAGCAGCCATTAAAAATTGTATTTTTGGGCCGGCCTGGTGGTGCACTGGAGAGTGCGCCACCTGGGAGCGCGGTGGCGCTCCCGCCAAGGGTGTGGATCCCATGTGGAGACCGGTTCCCGCTCACTGGTTGAGCGCGGTGCGGGCACAACACCGNACAGGTTTGACACTATTGTCTGACTAAGATGTTGCTGGGGTTGCCAATTTGGTATGGCTATGTCAGTGACTACTAAGTTGGCCACTAGTGCCTTGTGTGTGTGGTTGCCTCAGGTCTTGGGCCTCTCCGAGGAGCCACCTCTCTGGTCAGCTTGGACTTGGCCAGGCTGCTGGGTCACGGGTCGATACTGCAGGGCGTGTGGTCTCTGCTGAGCTTCCACCTCCCATGGTGGACATCTCCCTGTTCCGCGCGCACTGGGCTGGGCTGCTGGGATGTGCGGAGGCACCGCAGAGCATGTGGTCTCTGCAGAGCTTCCCCTTCCCCTGGTGGATGTCTCCGTGCTCCATGCACACTGGGCCAGGCTTGGGATAGAGCCGGTGGCAGCGGTGTGGTCTCTGTGGAGGTTCTGCCTCCCCCGCTGGATGTCTCCCCGCTCTGCGAGCACTGGGCTGGGCTGCTGGATTGTGCGGCGGCGGTGTGGTCCCCACAGAGTTCCCGCCTC